GTGATGTTCCTGTGAGTTCACTAGTTAAAGCCTCCATTATATCAACACCTTCCTAAAATAATTGTGTAACTCAGTTTAGCCAACTAAAACTTGGGTGATTATTTTAGGACGATGATAATAGTTATCTAGTCTAACCTGGTGCTACTTGTTGCATGTTTTTCACAGGAGCTACTGTGAGAAGCTAGCGTGTCAGATAGTCATAGTTAACCATCTTGTGTGAGCTTGATCCATGCAGTTTTTCCCTTGAGAAGTTTTCCACCTGTTTTATCACCTGTTTCCACTACAAGACACTTGCTTTGATTTTTCTCAGTCTAATTCAAAGAAATCCCAAAGTGGACGTTGCTGATTTCTCACAACTTTTGTTGTCGTCATTTAGCAGACGATGCTGAGCAGCAGCAGTCTGTAAACAAGTGTTGTTATAGTCCATGAGGTGTAAGCTGCCCACAGATAATGTGAAAATACTCAATTAAAAAGATCCACACAGCTCAAAATAAATTGACAAGCACTAAAATTAAGGATATTCTATCTATAATATTAGTTAGTTTTAGTTAGTTTTGTAAAAAGATTATACAGTTTTAGTTATTGTTTTTTCATTTTATTACAGTTTTTATTTATTTTAGTTAACTAATATGTTTTTTCAATTTCAGTTTTTGTTATTTAGTTCGTTTTAGTTAACTATAATAACTCTGGTGTGAACCAATTTACAGCAAACAATCTCCAGAAGCTATACAACTCCATTCCACACCAAACTACCGTGACTGACACCACCCTGCTCACACAGGACAAGCTGTGTGCTTGCACTACCAACCCTTTAGACATAATCCATTTTTGATTTATTCTCATTGAAATACAATCACATGACCTTTCAATGCATGCATTATCATTAAATTACATTTTATCAAGGTGCTTAATTTTTTTGTTATGGCATGCATGAAGAAGGGGTCAAAACAAGTGCTGAGTTCTAACACCAAACATTACCCTGGTCCACAATGAGGCTAGTTTATTTGTTTGTAGGAGTCATCAATTTTCACCCATTTGTAAGATTTAAAAGGTGTTCACACACAAAAAAAACAAAAAATAAAAAAAACAATGGTCATTGAAGTCCTGATGCAGCTCAACAGTCCAGGTAGAAAAAGGCTGAATATCAGCTCCTCTGGACGGGTTCTTTCATGGTGAAACAGTTTTGTTTATAAGGCTGAGTTTTCCTGAAACTTTTCAGACTGAAGAATCTTTTAGAGAAGAGATGAAATATTTCAATGAAGAAGAACCCATCCAGAGAATCTGACTCAACAACAATAAATGGGCTTGAGGTTGAATAGAATACGGAGCTGGAGTCGACATAAGGGCCTTTAGGTTGTCCAAGAAAACCTACTTTCATTTCAGACAACCAGATCCTGCCTCCTGGTCGTCCGGTGGACAACCACTGAAATAAACCTGGTTAAAAATCTCTGGCACGACATGTCCTTCATGTGCAAAAATGAAAGGAGGGAAAAAACGTGTTTGTTGTGGCCTTCTTGGAAACATTACACTGGTTCGTTCAACCAATAAAGAGACCCACAGTCAAAGTTTTACCTAATCAGAGCAGAGCAGGCCGGGTCACGCTCACACTTGAGTCCAACTGCAGGTGAAAGCTCTCAGTATTTCCCAAATAATTTTCCAAAGAGGATTACATATTTTACATATATTTTATTTGAAAACACCTAACAAGCATTTCCCTGGTAAAACCGTGTGTTTGCACACACAACAAAACTTGACCGTCATTTTTGAAGCAGAGGCTCAGAGTCTGCTTGGCTGCAGTCTCCTCCCACAACCTCCAACCTGCCCGGGATTATTTAAACATTAACGTGTCGGAGCGTTGGCATCATCTTGCAGACGTGCAACTTGTGCATGAACTCTYGATTCTCAAAGCAGCAGCACTGCTGCAGCAGGAGCTTTAGTTTTTATAATTAAACAACATTAACGCTATATTATTATTAAAGACGGATATTTATATGTCCCAGATTACAACAAAGACGTGTCTCCGTTTGACTTTAATTTTCCTCAAAGAGTTCTCTGTGAGTCAGCTTCAGGTGTTTGTAGTTTATCATAAATATCTGCTAAATTTAAGTCCGCCAGGTAGGCACAAGTAGTTGTGGCTGTTTTGTGCTAAACTTATTGAGAGGTAACTACAACTGTGATAAATATAACTTACACTGCAAAAACTGTCCATCTAACCAAGTTTTAAAACCTTGTATCAGCCAAAAAGTGTTTCTGATCTTGTTTTTAGACTGATTTACTAAACAAGAACTGATTGTGTAAGAATAATCATGTTCGGTTTTTTAACCTGGGAACTCAGAGGAACCACAACAAGCCCGGCCGAAACATTAATCAATTGACAAC